ATTTGCCATTTCCATGGCTTAAAAAAGGGGGTTTCCCACCCTCTTTCTGAGCATTTGGGGGAACTTTTTTATGGAGAAAATTGATGGCTGTTAGTCACCTTGAATTCTAAGTAGTAAATGAGGTAAACATTGAAATATGTAGATAAAAAGTTCCTCATAAACTATCATTTTCAGATATGTAATTTTTCCTGTGCTTCTCCCCCTCCAAAATGGCTACACCTTAACAGCTCCCGTGGTGCTGTTAAATCCCTTTAAAAACTCAGCTCCACCTTTTTTTTTCCAGCAGTCAGGGCCAAGCCTGACTTTTGTTGCCTCAAGGCAGAGAGGCATGGTCAATGTCATCACTGAAGTGGTTAAGGACACATTTTTCAGTTTTTAATGTTTGGGGACTGAGAAGGGATTTAAAATAGCGACACAGAAACTTGATGGCTAAAGGCACCTCTTATGCTACCTTAAAGCTTTTCAAAAAGCTTCTAAAAATGCTGGTTTTGCTTTTTCATTTCAAAAAGCGAGGAGCAAAATGCCTTTCAAACATCTTATACTATAATTATACCATTGGCCATGCTCCTGCCACCCCTGGAGGCCATTTTTAAACCTTTAAGTCTTGTTGATGTGGTAGCCGTGTATTGTTTATGATGCAGGGTGTAGTCCAAATACAGGAATTATGAATAAAATAACTTTCCCAAGAATCGGAAGGAACATTTAAATAATTGTTTTTCCCTCAAATAATCATAAAAATTTGAAAGTATGAATTGTTTGTGCCCCACCCCCCAATAACAGTACTTTAAATGATGTTCTGCATTGAATGGACATGATAGGAGATTTGAAGTGTTGGAATAGAGAAGTTGTAAACTGAAAAACAGTTATTGGTGTTCATTCTCATTTAGGAAAAGGAAAGCTTTCTTATGTTTGTGTCTTTGTGATGAATTTGCTATGCATTGAGTGATGCCTGGAAGATTTAGTATTTATCTGCTAGAATTTCCAGGAACAACTGAGAAAAGTCATTATGCATATTTATCACATGATCCAGTTCATTAGACAAATAGATCAGGGAGAATAAGCTATCCTCCTGGAAGACTCTTCAGAGTTCCTACACAAACTGTTTACTGGCGCACAGTCTTCCTTGGTCAGAGAACAATGTATTCTTTCGTAGTGAAATGAATGAGGCAGGAAGTTCATTCTCTCGTTTTCTCATTCAGGATCACTGAGAGGAAATACTCAAAGAAAGATGTCTTACAAGGAAGCTATTGAGAGTTGACATTCTGGTGGTATAAATCAGTAAGCTAGCTAAGAAACAAAAGCCCTAAATACTTATCTTCCCCATCTACAGCCCATTTTACTTCACAGCCAGCAAATTTGAAAAAAAGCAATCTTCAACATTTAAACCAGTGTTTTTCATCTTGGCAACGTTAAGCTATGTAAACTTCAATTCCCAAAATTCCCCAGCATCCTGACAGAATTTGCATTGCACTCCCGGGTCAGGCTGGGATGGACTTTGCCTATGAAAAAAAAAAAAAAAGCCAACAGCAGATGCTGAGTCATGGTGTGCTAGAAAGCTACTTTGTAAAAAAAAAAAAAAGCAAGCTCCTGGATTTTAGTTGTCCCAAAAAAGAAAAAAGCAGTTCCAGAGCCATGGCATCTCACAAAACTTATTTTGCAAAAAGTTCCTGAAGCATAGTGGAAATGCAGGATCTTACTTACTACCTTACTTAGGCTTGGAACTAGGAGGGGTCCAGCCTGGAATGGCTTGGATATGAGTATGTACTCAACTCAAAGAGCTGCAGTTCCCAGTTAATCATGACTACCCACCCAGGCCTGCAGTCATGTGACATCTTGCTTTACCACTGCAATAGAAATTCTGCTCCCATTGTGGTCATTAGTCAACAACTATATGTTATTGCAGCAGTTTGTAGCTGACATTTGTACCAGCTCAGTTTGATGTAAAAACATTTCTTATATAGTACTGCTGCATGCTGACTTTAGTCACATTATGTACATTTTAAGCAGGAAATTACAGGCAGGTCACATGGTTTTGGTGACCAATAGCACTGAAGTTGTAGCTTTGGGGGGGTAGCTTTGTCAGCCCTCCTGGGTAAACGTGAGAAACATGACTAGATGAACTACATCTATTTTATTGTAAGGCTACATGTACAAAATCCTGCAAGTGTGAAGATACAAACTTCCCACTGCCATTTTTAAGTGTCTAATCAATGAGGGTGGGTCCTTCCTAACTTTATTTCTCTGATTGTTGAGTGACTCTGGATTCCTCCCTCTCTTGTCTGATTTTCCATTACTGGCATGCTCACATGTGCATGCATACACACACACACACACACACACACACACACACACAGAGTCTCTCTTAGCAGCATTCCCCAAATGAATCTGGTAACAGCACGATACTGAAAACCACAATTGTCATAAGCTCCCCTTGTAAGGAAAAAATGATAGACTGAAGCTGTGTGGTAAATATTTTTATCATCCCAAAGCATTTTTTCCCCCAAGCAGCTTACCGTAGATAAGAGTACAAAAAAATGAAACCATGTAAACAAGAACATCAGCATGACTTGAGATGTGTCATGCAGCACTGCTGCAATTTGACCTGGGGAAGAACATAACAGAATTCTAGAGAACATAGCGTGACTTGCATGGAGGATTCTTGGCCATGTTTCTTTTTTCTGAAATGATGTTCTAGTCACAGCTGTGTTGAAGTGTTATTTGTAAATGTAAGGATCAAACAGCTGTGATTGTGGCACAGTGGAAAATAGATCAAGATGACATGCTGATTATCATAGAGCAACTAAAGGGAAAACAGCAACATATGGAATTAGATCTTGGCTAAACACAATCCTATATGTATTGTTTGCTTGAATTTAAATCATTTGTATTAATCTATTTAAATTAGGAACATAAAATCTGTGTTTTACTGAGTCAAGCCATTGGTATAGTCCCTACTTATTTGATAACTGTATTCATATAATACCTATGGTAAACTTAACCATGGGGCTTTCAGGGGAAAATATTTTTCTTCACTATGTTCACATTTTTTTCTTTTCTATTACCTATTCTCTTTTTCTTTTCTGGACCTTTTCCTTTTCCTTATATTTTCCTTATTTTCTTTTCTACTATCAGAAATAAATTTAAAAAGATAACCTTAACCACAATATAAACCACAATATAGCCCAATTTCCTGTGTTTACATAGCTTGTTGAACTATAAACAAACAGCATGGACTGAGTTCATAGGCTAAAATGTGTGATTAATGTGTGGCTCAATGTTTAAGCCAGCTAGCTAAAACTTTCTTTGGTTTCAGAAAGAAACCTTCTCAACTTTTGTTAGGGAAGCTAGGGTTGAACTAGGACTCTAATTGCTGTTTTTGTATACATGGTAACTGGTAGTTAACTGAATTATGATTACTAATAGTTTAGTTAACAGTTTAGTTTGCCACACTGATAATATACTGAATGATAAACTACAGTACATTGGCTGAGGTTGGACAGCATTGAATCCAAACTAGTAACGTTTAATTTGTTCTGTAAACCCAGCTTCTCTATCCCAAGCGTGTGTTTTATCACTGAGTGTTAAGATCCAAAATTTTTACATAAGTTAAAACCACAACCTTGGAAACAACAAAAGGCACTGAATTATTAGTTCTAATTTATTGTAAGTGTTTTTGAGTAAACACCAGTTGAAAAAAAAAGTATGGTAATGCACATGCTTTGTGCAATTTTTAGATCTACAAGATCTGGTCTTCAAGAATCCAAGTATCACTAGAATAATAGCAGATAAGACATATTAATACAGGTCAGAACTGTTACTGCAAAGAGTGTCTGTGGAGATTCTCAATCATCCAGGTCATGGTTGTCCCAAACATGCTTATCAAAGGCAATTGGACTTTCTTGGGTTTTTTCCTTGAAAGTTTAATTTTTTAATCCAAGAAACTTCTTCAGTTGTCGCCTAATGGTGGGGAATGGAAGGATTTATATCCCTTCTAAAGATGCTAAGAATGACTGCTAAGGAATATTAATCCTTCCATTCCCCACCATTCAGCCAGAACTGAAGAAGCTTCTTGGATGAGAAGCGAAATGTTTTCAAGAAAAAACCCAAGAAAATCCAGTTGACTTTGGTAAGCATCTTTGGGTTACTGCAAGGAGTTTTAATAGTGGCCACAAAGCACTTTGGAACCAGAGAAAAGATTTGTTAAACACAGGCACATGATAGGAACATTTTACTTCTCTGTTTCAGGTCAAGGGAACCTTTTAAAACACATACGCTCTCATTACAGTATCAGTATATCTGGCCTTAAATATTGTGGAATTGCTCCTCTCGCTTCCTTAGAAATCATACCTTTCAGCATTCAAGGCAAAAGTCTCATTCTGTTGCAATTTGGACCTTGTAATAACATCAGAACAATTGGATGAAAAGCACTAGCCTTTGTCATGCTTTCAAGAACGATCATTCAACATAATGACCAGAATCTACTGTATATAGCTTCTTCTGCAAATCTGTCTACTGCATTTATTTCAGTCTGCGAAAGGTTATATTTATATCTGAAAGTAAACAAAATTGTTTTTTCTGCGATAAGGCGACTATAAGTGGTTAATTTTCGGCTTGTTGCGATACAGCTTTGCTTCTTTTAAAACCCAGGTATTCAGTTGAGCTTCATTAATGTGGACATGTGATAAATTACAGTAATTATCTTTCTCCTTCAACAATCTGCCTCTTTTCTGTTGCACAGCTACGAATTGTTTCTCCCTTTGAACTTTGCTGCAGTTAGAATTAGCAGTCATTGGGGTTTCTGCCCTGCTAACACAAGATAAGAGAGGCTGGGTTTTTAACAAGAGTCCTTTTAAATTAAGTAGCTTTTGGACTAAGCACCTTTGTTTATCTCATTTCACACGTAGTAATAGGTCTTGCCTTTCTCATTTAAATTGTGTTAAGCAAAGCCTAAAGATGGAATAACTGGAGTGTTTTTCTTTTTTAACTAGTACATGCTTTTCTCCTGGGCTTACCATTATTCTAGGGATATTTTTTTTTGCAGAACCACAAAGGAAGGAGATTGCATAACATTAATCCTTTTCCCCACCACCACCACCATCACCCCTGCCTTGTGCTACCCTGCTACTGACTCTGAGAGTGAAAAATATCTGTTTTGGCCCTACAATATTAGAAATGAGCATTCGTTGGTTCAGTACCTCGGCAGTTCTGAGATGAATACTGTAAAGTCTAAGTATCTTTCCAAAAGTTTACTCTCCTCTCCATCTTAAGGTGAAATATAAAGGTTCAGAGACATGTTGTGAACACCCTTCCTTGATGTACAATTATGAACATTTGTGCACTGTAGAATTTGAACCAGTTTTTTTTTTTTTTAACTTTGCAGTTTCCAATTATCGTAAGTAAGCTCTGCAGTGTTCTTTAGGAACTTACAATAATTGTCAAAATGATGAGAACAGTAGTAATTGAGAGAAAAGGGCTGGGTGTGGTGAGTGTTCCCAACACTGGGGGAATAGACCTCCCAGAAGCTCATTAGAGATGCTGTACACTTCAAGAAGAGAAGTGTAGCCTGCTGGGATTTCATATACAATGCATCAATATACAAAGTCATCAATAAATCAGATTTTTGGACACAACAGTTGTAAGAACAGACCTAGAACTAACTCAGTCTGTTGTAAAGGTATGTAAAAGGTACGTGGTAGTACCTTTTATACAGGCATGGCCAAATGTATCATTAAATATAAGGAAACAGGCAGAAAGACATTGGATCTCGTAATCTTAGCTGGCATATAACCTTTCTGAAAGCAGCAAGGCACCTATTTCATTTTATTTTCAACGGAATTGGCTTTGCAGAATTCCTGATAAGCCTTTCTTATGTTACTGGTACTTTATAGTCTAACTGACAAATCCTATGAATTGATGTCCTTACATTCTGGGTATTCCTCAGATTGGTGCCTTCTGCTTGGTGGAAGGTATAATCTAACATATGAGATGAATACTGGCCAGGTTAGGGAAACGTAAAACAAATCGCAAACAAATAGAGAGGCTTAGTCCCAAATAATGGTACTTTTGAGTGAGGAGATAGAAATAACAGTGTTCTGACTGAGTGACAAGAAGAGACAGTAGGCACCACTAGGCACCTGTGAGAGAGTTGTAAGTTCTGCTGCTGAATGACTAGGAGGTCCTAGCAGGTACTGATAATACACCACTGTATTGGTCGTGTTAGTGCTGATGGCTACCTTAATTCTTCCAAAAATCTACTGAAGTTTCTTGCTGCCTACCTGTTCTTCCAAACAACAGCTTGAATCAAGCCTCTTGCTGTTCTCCATGTCACCTTAGCAGATATTCCCTAGCTCATTCATAGTTTGCTATTGTTGACAAAGAGATGTTAAATCACTATTATAAGCAGTAGTATCTGTGATCAGGGAGAACCTGTGGTAGGTATTCATTTTGAGAACAGCCATATGGGAAATGTAGTACATGGCCTTGCTCTAAGACAGAGCAAGAGAAAAAATATTCTTAATTATGTTGTGGATTATCTGCAAACTGTTTAAAAAGATACGCCAATTGCCTAACTAAATGGCATCCTTGAAGATCATGACTATGTTTACCAACAATAAAAACATTAAACTCTCATGTTTTTCTTACCACAAAAATGACAGTCCATATGAAACGTAATTCATTTATCATGTACATGAAACAGCATTGGAATATTGTTTTACAATATATGTTCATCTGTCTGACAACAAAATGAGCTGTGAGCCAACAAGAGTATCCTATTTTTTTAACTGTACATATTCAACCTCATTCTAGTATTTGCTTGCTTTGCTGCAGACTTGAAATGTTGCTCAGGACAGAAGAAAAGCAACATGCGTGAAATACATTTTTTCCATTTGCAGATTGTTGAAATGCACTAATGTGCCTAATCAGCCTCAGAAAGAGACATTCAGAAGGAAAGGGCACCCCAAGACAAATTCTATTTGTGGTTGGAAGGGGAGAAGGTGCACATGCCGTTCATCACTCAGAAGAGCTAGGAAAACTCTGGCCACCAGCCAAGAGAATCATACCACATTTAGTCCATGTGTGCTTCAGATGTGGGCTCCTAATGGAACAACCTGGAGAGTGGGCAGAGGTCCTATTGGAGGCGCGATATACTCCTCTTCTCTCAGCAACCGCAACAGAATGTTCTTTTTATTCCGAGGCCAATGGTAGATGTGAGTATTCTGAAGCCAGGTAGGTACGTGTTCCTGTGGAGAAGGAAAAGTCAAAAAGAGAGAGAAGAATATGGATAGGAAAGAAGAAAGAAAAAACAATACATAGTCCCTCCTGATTCTTGATAGCAGCTTTTGAAGCATACTCATCATTAGAGTTACAGACTCCACATCTGAAATGAATTCCTTGGTCTTCTTCATATGTTTTTGCCAACAAACTAAGCAATTAGTTAAGATGTACGTTTCTTTTTTAAACAATTTCAGAAATTCCTTGTGAAATCATTTGTATGAAGCATTTTTCCAGCATATTTATTGCTTCTTACATCATTCAGCTTTATTGTCCTACAAATCTGCATTCCATAGTTATAATGTTGAGGTATAGTAGAGTCATATAGCTTCCCTATAGCTCTGATAGCAAAGCTTCAGGAAGATCTTGACTAACCTACACGAGATTGTGGTAGTTAGTTTTCCTATGCTGATTAAGGAGAATTTAGAAACAATGGTTCCTACATTTTCTTGTATGTGATATTATAAGGAGAGTAGGAGGGCTTATTTTGTTATTTTCCTAATGTACAGATTTTTAGATACAACAGCCTGTTTGAATATGATTATGAGTTCATGCTAAGTTATAACCAAACAAGGATTCATGTTGTAACAAAGGAGAAGTCACAAAGGAAGAATGCAACATCTAGAATCCCTCCCCCCTAAAAAAAAAAAAGCTTTTAAAAATGTTCAAAGTGAAAGAGAAAATAATCAGTATATCAGCTTCTCAAGAAGGTAACAAAATGTTAGCATGTAACAAAGAAAAGGCAAAACTAGTTAATTCCCATTTTGGCCATTTTAAAATCAATATGGGAGTAAGTATTTCACTAAGCAGTTGTGAAGAGCAGAATCAAGGGGCATGTTTGTTTTCAACAATGTTTCTATATCTCCAGGGTCAGATGAATATCATCCTAGGATACTGAAAGATTTGCTGATGGTCTAATAGACTGTTTATAAAATGTTGAGAAATTTGAGATAATGGGTAAAGTATCAAATGAATTGAGAAAAATGTTTGAAAATAATGCTGAAATTACAGAAGTCAACATGGATTTGTTAACTAATTTCCAAATCACTTGAACTAAAAGTTTACTTCATTGTGCATTAGTCAGACCCACCAGGGCAAAAGGTCCTGGGCATGGGACTTTTAATCTGGATTCTTCTTAGATTAACTAGGAGGGATTCAGAAATACCAATGAAGTAGCCCAGGAAACTAGAAATGTAATCTGAACAAAAGTTATCACAAAGAAGAAGGCCAAGACTTGTTCATTACCATCACAGACAGCAAGACAAGTAATAATTTAAAATTATAAGAATGCAAGAGTAGTTCACAGAAGAATTAATTACCTAGAAGTCTCTGCATCACTAGATGGATATTGGATAGCCACATGTCACCAGTGCTTTAAATTTGAATTATTTCCAATTCTGTAGTTCTACAAAATGAGATTCTGGCCTATACAGTTTGAGAACATAGTTGGTGTGTAAGAATCTGCATATTCTGCAGAACAGATTTGGGGTACAGATTGAGAGTAGAGGTATAGTTTTAGAAAATAGCTTATATCCAGTAGAAATCATGGAAAATATAGATCTGAGCTTAGTTCATTCTTTTATCACATAAAACTATCTAACAAAATTTATTTTAGCCACATGATGTTCTTCAAGCTGAATGAGAAAGATTTAAGGAGGTAAAAATGGACGATTCAAGTGATTTAGTTATTGTTGGATTATGCCTATCCCATTTTATCTCTAGATAAAACAGAAAAGGTACTAAAAATAGAATCCTTTTATTATTTAAAAGTATTTTGTCCATTAATAAGATTGATATAAATTATATTTCTGTTTTAAGAGTATTGTGAAACATTTCTCTAAATTGTTACATCAAATGCCAACAGGATGTTTACTTCACATTCCCAAATGTTTGTTTTTAAATACTATATATCTAATTTAAATTTTCATCAAACACCAACATGGAATTATTCTGCCTTTGTCTATTACCTTTTTTGCATTGGGAAAGAGCACAGGAATGAATCTAAAGTTCATGCTTCCTTGCTGTATAAATTCAATTTGCATCTGAAAAAAATACAAAAGAATAAAAATTTGTCAATATTTATTTCAGATATATGTATTTTGATTTCTAATGTTTTATGTACAATGGCCTTCAGCTATAAACAGACTCATGGCTCTACAGGAGCACACTGACATAATCAGACAGATTTCTGTATGTTTTTCTTGGATTATGCATATAAATCGATGGTCAAAGTAGATTGTGATCCAATGTTAGATACAATATATAAGTGCCCTGATCTGAGCAACACTGGTTTTCATTCTAGATTTTTTGGAAGTAGGGGAGCCTGGTGTACCAATAAAGG